GGGGCCTATCTGGAGGCGGAGCTAGACTTAGAGGGATGGGTTCTAAGGGAGGGCGAAGGGGCAGGGCAGGAGTCAGGGAAGAGGCGGGGCTAAGGACAAGGTCAGGGGAAGAGTGGGACCAGGAATGGGGAAGCTGAAGTTAGGGTAGGGAGCGAGAAGGGTTCAGGTTATAGAGGATGGGATCAGGGGGTGCTGGGCCGGGCTAGAGGCCTAACTGGAGGTAATTAAGTGGGGGTGTGATACAGGGTGGGGCCAGGTGGGGCGAAGTTGGGAGGGAGGCGGGGGAGGGCTTATAGTGGCGGGGCCAGGGTCTGGGCAGGTAGGAGATAGGGGTGGGGCTGGTTTAGGGGCAGAGGAGCGTGGCTGGAGGCTGACCTGAAGTTGGAGGGGGGTTATGGGGCGGGGCAAGGTGAGTGGAGCCGGAGCTAAGGCAGGAGGGGCGGGATCCATCTGAGAAAGGAAAGAGGTGGGGGTGGAGCTGGAGTTAGGGATGGGCGGGGCCTTGGTGGAGGCGGAGCTAGAATTAGAGGGGTGGGTGACGAGAGATGGAAGGGGTGTGGCCTTATGGGGGCGGGGCTAGGCTTAAGGGCGGAGTTTGGCTCCGGGAAGACCTGGAGCCCCAGCCCCAGCCGCGCCAAGGGCGGACCACCTCACCTGGAGCACCTCTTCCAACAGAGGAAGCGGCACTATTGGCGCCTGGACTGCAAGTGCATCACGCTCTTCCAGAACAACACGACCAACAGATACTACAAGGTGGGCCTTCCGGCCCCCAGCTCCCCCAACCTCCTCCTCCTACTCCTCTCCCAGTTGCTTGCCTGCTTGCAGGTCATCAGCAAATGGGCCTGCCCGGCCCCACCACTTTCCAGCTGGGGAACCCGGGCGGCTTACCTCACCTCTCTGCGCCTCCCGTCTGGCACCTGTAAAAGGCCTCAAAGACTAGTCCTCGCCTCAGGGCTGCTGCCCTAATTCAGCGATCACCTCCTCGAAGCGGTTAGCTTAGGGGCCTGGCTTGTGTGGAGCTCCCTGTTACCATTACTACTTTAAAATGAAGTATTGGATCATTTATCAGTATCCCTCACCACCCGCCATGGCCCCACTGTGCTCTGGGCTGTCCCCTCCTGGGTCCTTGCTTCTGCACTTGCCCCCACAGCCTTGTCCCACATAGCAGCCAGAGGAGCTGAGAAAACCGTCAGAACCCTCCCTTTGCCCTTAAAATAAAACTCGGATGCCTCGGGGTTACCTGCTCTGGAGCGGCTTCCCATGGGGGGGTGCCTTCTCATCCTTCTGTATTCTCGGCCACACTAGGATGCTGTCCCCACCATGTCTCTGTCATCTGCTTTTATTAGCTATGTCAGTCTGTCCCTGTTTCAGTCTTTCGTTATTTTAATTCTTTTCTCCCCCTTCTGCAAATGTGCCCCCCACACACATACTTTCTCTTCCAACACTTTTCAAAGCACGCTCTTTTCACTCCACACAGACCCTGCACCTTCTCTCCCCGTCCCCTCCCCTCCCCCTGGCCCTCTCAGCCTCCTTTTTGGTCTCCTGTCTCAGTCCCATCCTTTCCCGTCCACCCTCCGCACACAGCCAGAGACCTCCCCCTGCCTTGCTCTAAACCTTTCCATGGTTCCCCACGGCCCTGGAGACAAAGCCCAGGTTCCTCTCTGTGGCCCATGAGGCCCCTCAGGGCCTAATTTCATTTGTTCACCAAACATGGCACACCTCCTGTGTGTGATGTGAATAGAGAATGTGATGGGAATAGAGCATGTCCCTTGAATACCAGCCTTTCCCACCTCAGGGCCTTTGCACATGCTGTTTCCACCATCCTCCACCAGTTGGCCTCATCTTACCTTTCTGATCTCTTGCTTCATGTAACTTCTGCCAGGAGGCCTTTTCTGACTACTCTATGCAAATCAGGCCCTTTCCCACAGATACTAGATTCTATATGCTCTTCTGAGTAAATGGGGAGCCCCAGGATCTGCCTGGCATCCTCATTGGTGCTGGTTCTTTGTCCTGCCAGGAAATTCCATTGTCAGAAATCCTCACCGTGGAGCCTGCCCAGAACTTCAGCCTTGTGCCACCAGGCACCAACCCCCACTGCTTTGAGATCGTCACTGCCAATGTCACCTACTTTGTGGGCGAGACGCCTGGCGGGGCCCCAGGGGGGCCTAGTGGGCAGGGGGCTGAGGCTGCCCGGGGCTGGGAAACGGCCATCCGCCAGGCTCTGATGCCAGTCATACTCCAGGACGCACCCAGCGCCCCAGGCCACACACCCCACAGTAAGTCCCCACCCTGGGCCCTGAGAGGATGGGTCTGGGAGGGCTTGCGTGGGGTCCCAGGGAAAGGAAGAGCCAGGAAGAAGGCAGGGAATGGCACAGTGGAGAATGTGGATTCTGGACTCAGCTGGCCTGAGTCCAAATCTCCATTAAGCCCCAGACCTGATGTGTGGCCTTGGGCATGTCACTTCCCTTTTCTGAGTCTTGTCCCAGGTGGTGACAACTCCTCCAGATTGTGAGTTCAGAGTATTTCATTCAGATATTTACTTCCCCATCCCCATCCTGTGCTGGGCAATGCTGGGGACATAGCTGTCACCAAGACAGCCCAGGACCTGCCCTCACAGGGCTCACAGTCCAGTAAGGGAGACAGACCTGTCCCCAAGCAGTGACAACCCAGAGTGGGCAGGGCTGGGACAGGGGAGCCAGAGGGCTGTGGGAGCTCAGAGGGGATAGACGATCCAGCCTGGGTATCTAGGAGGGCTTCCTGGATGCGGCAACATCTGAGCTGAGACCTGGAAGCTGAGGAGGGCTGAGAGAGGGGAATGCAGATGGGAAATATTTCAAGCAGAGGCAGAAGATGATCAGAAAGTCCCAGGCTCCTGCCTTCTGGAGCTCATAATCCAGTGTGAGTGACAGACACTCATCAGATCATCCTGCGGGAATGACAAGTGTAATGTAGAACGTGACATGGCCCCAGGAGTGAAGTTTGAGCTGAGAGTGAGTGAGGAGGAGGATTTAACTAAGTCCAGCGGAAGGGATGCACGTTCCTGGCAGAGGGAACAGCAAGTACAAAGGCAGGAGATAGGAGGGGACTTGGCCCAGCAAGGAGGCCAGGGTGTCGGGAGGACACCCCAGCATGGTAGGGCTTGAAGTCAAAGAGGTAAATGAGGGACCAATGCCTGTGAGGCCATTGAAGGGGCTTGGGCTTCCTCCTGAGTGTGCTGGGGAGCCATGGCAGAGTTTGGAGCAGGGGAAGGACAGACTCAGGTTTGTGCTGGTGAATAGGAGAGAGCAGAACAGGGGCAGACAGACCAGGGAGGAGGATGAGGGGCCAGGCCTGGAATGGGAAGGGGGCAGGTGTTCAAATGGCAGAAGGGTCAGAACTTAGGAAGTGTCTGGCTCTGGTTGAGTGGTAGGGTGGCAAGTTCGGCGGTGGCGAGGGGAGATGTATGTTGCAATCAGTTTGGGCTATCCCGCTGAGAGAGCCTCAGTGTCCTCCTCCGTAAAATGGGATCAGCGTGCTTCCCTTGGCCCTGAGATCTTGGGGTACAATGCTCAGTGAAATCATTCCTGACACTTCTTGAGCCCCCTCGGCCTATCTTGTTTACTTCTCCCACTGGCCCTAGGAGGGAGCACCTGTTATCCCCATTCTCTAGATGGTGAAACAGGTTCATAATAGACAAGTCAGTGGCCCAGAGCTGCACAGGATCCTCTGGCTTCGAATCCGGGTGGTGTGGCTCCAGGGGCTGTCTCTGGGTGAAGATAATCCTGAGCCCGGGGTCCCCTCACCTCCACCTCTCCACTCTTCCCAGGACAAGCTTCTCTGAGCATCTCCGTGTCTAACAGCCAGATCCGAGAGAACGTGGTGAGACCCTGCCCACACCCCATGGTCCCAAGGATGTCCTCTGCCTCCCATGCAGCCTCCTGCCCTCCCTAGTCTCCCCAACACCCCATCTCCATTTGCCCCCTTGACCCTCCCCATCCCCGCCATGCAGGACATCGCCACTGTCTATCAGATCTTCCCGGATGAGGTGCTGGGCTCCGGGCAGTTTGGAGTGGTCTATGGAGGTATGGATGCTTCTGAGCTAATCCAGAGGGGGTCCTGGGGGTTCCTGGGCTCCAGACCTTCCTGTGTGATTGGCTGCATGCTCACTTCCTGTTCTAGTTGACTTAGAAAGCTAAATCCTCGAAGCAGATGGATGCAGCTTCTCCTTTTCTTACTGGAAAAAGCCAATGGACTTTCTCCCCTTCTTAATAGGGAGAGCGAATTCTTCACTCTGATTGGCCACAGAGCTAGTTCCTAGGTTCTGATTGGTTATAAATCTAGTTTCCCATGTGATAGATTTCCTTCCTCAGAGCTCTTGTCTTTTACCTTCTTCATTCCAAAGCTTTTATTCCCAAGGTCCCCCGCCCCTCACATGCCTCCTGGAAACCCCTCAGAGCCACCCTGATGGCCTTCTGCCCACCTTTGTTCAACTATGCCTGTGTCTTTGTGGTGGTGGTGGTGGTGGGGTGTTCCTCTTACCAGGACTGGAAGGTCTTGCTCCCTTCATCCCCAGTCTCCCTACCCCCTGCCCAGGAAAGCACCGGAAGACAGGCCGGGACGTGGCAGTCAAGGTCATTGACAAACTGCGTTTCCCCACCAAGCAGGAGAGCCAGCTCCGGAACGAAGTGGCCATTCTGCAGGTGACCACCAGGCTCGGGCCAATGGACCCAGGCTGGGGGTGGTCAGGGAAGGCTTCCTGGAGGAGGGAACATGCATGTTGAGACTGAAGGGGTGGAAAGGTATTCTGAGCAGAGGGACCAGCTTGTGCAAAGAAAGGTCTAGAGGTGAGAGGGAACATGAAGTCTTCTAGGAATTTGAAGTTCGAGGTTACTAGATGGTTTATGTGTGGGGAGGTGGTGGGAGGTGAGGGCAGGGAGGAAGGTGGGGTCACACCCTATGGATTTTCTCCTGAGGATACTGGGGAGCCATGGAAAGATGTTGAGCAAGAAGGGGATAGGGTTGAGTGTGTACTTTAGGAAGATCTCGCAGGCTTGCCCCCGGAGGGTGGGTGGAAAGTGGTGGGACTGGAGCCTGGAGCCCAGGGAGGAAGCTAGGTGGGGACCTGGGGGGTAGAAATGGGGTTAGGCCAGGCAGGGTTTGGGGGGAGAGGGAGGAGGATTTACAACACAGAGATGTACAAAGGTCCTTCCCATTGTTCCAGACTTCTGCTCCCTCCCTCCCCTCCTCCCCCCCCCCCACAACCCTGGACCTTCGACAGAGCTTCATGATGTAAAGATCCTTCCAGATACCTGGTGGTGTGGGGATGTGGTTCTGTCTGGGTCTGTGGGAAGCCCCTCCCACCTCCCCCATTGCCGCCCCCAGGGAAGGAGCTGCTGACCCTCCGGGGACATCCTTCTTATTTGTCATCCATCTGCTCCCATGGCTCGCCTCTGGGGTCCCAAGTTCACGGGTGACCTGGACCCTGACTGCTACCCTACCCCTCATCCCCACCCCAGAGTCTGCGGCACCCCGGGATTGTGAACCTGGACTGCATGTTTGAGACACCTGAGAAGGTGTTTGTGGTGATGGAGAAGCTGCACGGGGACATGCTGGAGATGATCCTCTCCAGTGAGAAGGGCCGGCTGCCCGAGCGCCTCACCAAGTTCCTCATTACACAGGTGCACCCGCCCCCCTGCCCTCTGCCCACCTCCGCCTGGCTCCCCACCTGCCCTGCGCCCAGCTCAGGCAGACACTGGTGGGAGTCCTAATAGCAGATAATAAAAAATAGAGAGTAATAATAACAACAATAGAAAAAATAATAGAACGATAATTTCGAAAGAGTAATAATAGAACAGACTGTAGAGTAATAAGAGTAATAACAATAGAAAATAATAAAATGATAAAAAGAATAGAGCAGTAGTGATAATTATAGTTATTAGTATAGAAAAATCAGAAATGATTATGTTATATTTTTTATTCCTTTATAGAATGAGATTCCCTAAGGCCTGACTATATTCATGTAGGAAAAGGGAAGGGGAGGGAGGCCTTTCTGTGGGGAGCTCATTCATCCATTTCTTGGGTGGTTCACCAAGCTCTCCCTCTTCCCCTGCTCTGTTCCCGGCTGCATGCCAGGCAGTGCTGGGGACACAGCTGTGACCAAGATAGCCCCAGGCCTGGACAACGATCACCCAGAGTGGGCAGGGTGGGGATGGGGGATGCTAACGGTGTGTCAGGCACTGTTTTAACTCATTTTATCTGCATCGCAACCCATGTGGTAGTGGCCATGATTGCTCCTGTTTTTGAGTCGGAAAAAAACAAGGCTCAGAGACTTTAAGTAACTTGCCCAGCTGGCGGGATGTGCACCTAGGATCCGGGCTTTTACTAGTAATGTCAAACTAATTCGTGTCACCTCTGTGTTGTTCCGCCTCTTTCTTCACTTTAATAGTACTTCTGGAAGGCTATTCTATTTCGGTACGTAGAGCTGCCTCTTTTTCTGAATTGTATCCCATGATGGATATCACCGAGTCCTGTAATTGCTGAGTACAGAGGTTGTTTTCACTTTTCCACCTTTACAAACAACATCCTGTGAATATCTCTACACACACTGCTGAGCTCTGGTGGGAGAATTTCCATAGAACACGTTTCAGATGATAGACTCCTGAGTCCAGGGAAATGTGCTTCAGGATTTTTTTAGAATATGCTGCCCAGTTATTGTCTAAAATCCTTTTCAGTCTGCTCTCAACAATAGTTTGAGGATGTCTACTTCCTCACTCCTTACTAACTCTGGATAAAATAATCACCAGTCTTATAGGTGGAAACATAATACTTCATGTGGCTTCATTTGGCAGTCTAAAAATTATGGGTGAGGTTGAGCATATTTTCCTATGTTTATTGGCCTGTGCTTTTTATACCCATTGCCCATTTTTCAGTTGGATTATTCTTATTGAATTGTGAGAGCTCTTTGTATATGAGGGACACTGGATCCTTGTCACTTGTGTTGTTCAATTTTTTTTATCCCTGTATTTGTTTTCTTTTTCATTTCATTCATGGCTTTCATTTGCCATAAAGAGTTTAACTTTCACAACGTTAAATGTTGCCTTTCATGGCTTCTGGGTTTTACAGCCTTCCTAGAGAGGCCTTCCCATCCAGCTGGTCCCTCACCTGATTCTGGGACTTGTTCTCTTGGTTGCAAAGTCCCCTGTGCTGCTCTTCCTTTATGCAGGCCTGGCACCCTTGCTCTCCCCAGCACTGTGCCTTCATCAGGTTGGCTTGTGGGGTGGGGAGAGAAGCCCACTGAGGCAGGCTCATCCAGACTTCAGGAGAGGGAACTGCCGGCCTTCAGCAACTGGTTGGTTTCTCTTTCTGGTCTTCCATCTCTCCTTCTCTTTTTGCCTGTGCTCCCCTCTCTCTCTCTCTCTCTCTCTGCAGATTTCTACCTTCCGCCTCTTGTCTGTCCCACCCCAAGTCCTGTGCTAGGCCCTTTACCTCATGGGCTTGTTTATGCTTCACAACTGCCCTCTGAGGTAGGTATTACTAGCACCCCATTTTACAGATGAGGAGACTGAGGTGGAGGGAGGGTCCATGTCCTGCCCAAGGTCACACAGCTCGGTGGCGGTCTGGCTGAGATTTGAACCCAGATCTGTCTAGCTTCCAACCTGCCCTCTTTGTTCTCCTCAGGTACTAGTAGGGGAGGGAGGGTGGTCAACAAACAGGAAGTCGGGAAAAGAGGTACATACACACCGTGGATCTCAGTTTCCTGGCCGCAGCCTGAGGATTACACAGAATCAAGGAAGATCATAGTGTCCACAGATAAAGTGGTTGGAAATTGTATCCATTTTTTTGCTTTTTGTTTTGCAAAGCAGCTCACCTTGCCATCATAGAATACTCTTGAATTAACAGAGCTGGAAAAGCTCTATTTGAAATGCGCACAGAAATAGGTTCATCCACAGGCCATCCCAGAAAGAGGACCAGGTGCCAACAATAGTAGCAGCTAATGCAGTGTTTGCTCTGTGCTAGACACTGTCCTAAGCACTTTCTATGCCTCAACGCATTTAAACTTCGCAGCGACCCCTGAGGATGGGTACTTTTATTACCCCCTATTTTACAGGTGAGAACACTGAGACCCAGAGAGTTAAAGTGGCTTGCCCGATGCCACAAGCTAGTGAGTGTAGAGCTGGGTTTTCCACCTGGGTAGGCCGGCTCTAGAGTCCCCCCGCCTCTTAAGAGTATTGCATTTAATATATAATGTAGATCATATTGGTATTTGTACTGTTTCACATTAGAGTTTTTTTTAAAATGGAGTCACACAATAGTACCTTCTTAAAGGCTGCTACTTTACTAATAACCCTGCCCCCCCCCTTTTTAGAGTAAACTCCAGGCCCAGGGTGGGGCTCGAACTCATGACCCAGGAGGTCACAAGTCGCCAGCTCTGCCAACTGAGCCAGCCAGGAGCCTCATATTAGCTCTTTTTTGTCAGGAGCTATCCACATGCCAGAGGGTCTCAGGCTCTTCCCAAACCCACTGCTCCAGTCGAACATTTCTGGAATTATCCAACACCTATCTCGGGAGTCATGGTTTTGGGGTTCTGAGATTCTTTTTTTTTTTTAAAGATTTTTATTTATTTATTTATTTATTTATTTATTTATTTATTTATTTATTTATTTATTTGAGACAGAGAGAATGAGAGAGACAAAGAGCACATGAGGGGGGGAGGGTCAGAGGGAGAAGCAGGCTCCCTGCCGAGCAGGGAGCCCGATGCAGGACTCGATCCAGGGACTCCAGGATCATGACCTGAGCCGAAGGCAGTCGCTTAACCAACTGAGCCACCCAGGCGCCCTGGGTTCTGAGATTCTTATTTGGGGCTCCAATGCCTCCCCTGGCCCTGGGGGGCATTTTCAGGGGTACAAAGAGAGGGCATGGATGGGGTTTGGAGGGCTGGTGGCAGAATCTGGGGCAGGTAGCTTTCTACCTTTCTTACCGGCCCCACCTCCTCCCCTCAGATCCTGGTGGCTCTGAGACACCTTCACTTCAAGAACATCGTCCACTGTGACTTGAAACCGGAAAACGTGTTGTTGGCATCAGCCGACCCCTTTCCTCAGGTCAGTCATGTCCCAGCTTGATTTGGGGAAGTCCAGCTAACACTGGAGGCAGGTGGGGATTGTATGAATCAGGATAATTGGACACAGAGACTCAAGATAACAATGGCTTAAATAAAACAGACGCTTGTTTCACACTCATATAGGGTCCAGCATAAGCATTTTGAGGTTGAAAAAGCAGTTCCTTAGGGTCAGGTACTTGGCTCCGGCTGTCTTGTTCTGGCCTCTCTATGATGTTCTAGCCTTCATGGTTCATGATGGTCCCCATCATGTGACAAGATAGTAGGAGGGAGAAGGAGGAAAGAAACAGGGTGAAGGAAATGGACACACCCCCTTCCTTCCCAGACGGTGTGGAACTTTACAAGGCACGTCTTCTAGCATCCCATTGGCCAGGACTAGATCACGTGGCATGGATGGCTGCAAGGGAGGCCGGGAGATGTAGTCTTTATTCTGCGTGGCCCTGTGACCCGTTCAATTCAAGATTTTTATTATTAAGGGGAAAATGGAGAACAGATATTGGGGGACAACTAGTAATTTCCTCTGTGGGTCTGTTAGGAAAACAGTTCTGATGAGCCTCGGGACTGGGCGGTGAGAACACCCCCCAGGGGCAGAACCAGATTGGGTAGTGGTGACGATTATAACAGATACAGTTTATTAAATGCCTACTGTGTTTAAGGGCCTACAGGTTCTCATGTGGCCCTTCCACATCCTGTAAAGCTTTTGCTTTATGATCTGTGTTTTGCAAACACTGAGTTCATTTCATTTCAAAAGCCAGAGGTTCATTTTATTCAACTAAGAATTGCTGTGTGCCTACTAAGAGCCAAGCTCCCTGTGGGGGCATCAGGAACTGTAGTAAGCAAAGACATCTCCTCTCTATGGCCAAGGAACATCCATCTCTACCAGTGGTTTACAGCTGGAGCGGTTTTGCCCCCTAGGGGACATGTGACAATGTTGGAGACACTTTTGGTTGTCACAGCTGTTGGGGGGTGGGGAGGGGTGCTGCTGGTATCTAGGGATACCAGATCCCACATTTTAGTAGCCACACTTAAAAAAGGAAAAAGAAACTGGTGACATTAACTTGAAAGATTTTTTAAAATTTATTTCTGGGACGCCTGGGTGTCTCAGTTGGTTGAGCGTCTGCCTTTGGCTGGGGTCATGATCCCAGGGTCTTGGGATCGAGTCCCGCATGGGGCTCCCTGCTCAGCAGGGAGCCTGCTTCTCCCTCTCCCACTGCCCCTCCCTCCTGCTTGTGCTGTCTCTCTCACACAAATAAGTAAATAAAACCTTAAAAAAAAATAAAATAATAAAATTTATTTCTAAGTAATCTCTACCCCCAGTGTGGGGCTCAAACCACAACCCCGAGATCAAGAATTGCAGGCTCCACTGACTGAGCCAGCCAGGAGCCCCTGATGATATTAACTTTAATAATAATACTTTATCCCAGTATATTCAAATATTATCATTTTAATGTATAATTGACATAAAAGTTATTAATGAAATGTTCTTTCTTTCTATACCACACCTTCAAAATCTGGTATTTAACACCTAGGACACATCTCAATTCAGATGTGAAATTTTTATCAGAAATATTTGATTTTGTGCTTAGATTTGAAAAAATTAGCAGTTGAAAAAGTAGACTGACATATCCAAGTTGTTCCAAGCATATTTAAAAGTTTTCCAATAACTAAGTCTAGGGTCTTTTTGTTTGTTTGTTTTTTAAAGATTTTATTTATTTGAGATTTAGAGAGAGAAAGAACGAGCAAAGGGGAGGGGCAGGGGGAGAGAGAGAGAAGCAGGAAGCCCGACACAGGGCTTGATTCCAGGACCCAGAGATCACGACCTGAGCTGAAGGCAGACACTTAACTAAATAAGCCACCCAGGTACCCCTGTTGGTTTTGTTTTGTTTTGTTTTTAGTAAAAGATGATATTATTTTCATTAACATTTATTTTGGAAGGGACGCCTGGGTGGCTCAGTTGTTAAGCGTCTGCCTTCGGCTCAGGTCATGATCCCAGGGTCCTGGGGTTGAGTCCCGCATCAGGCTCCTTGCTCAGCAGGGAGCCTGCTTCTCCCACTGCCTGCAGCTCCCCCTGCTTGTACTCTCGCTCACTCTCTCTCGCCTATGCTCTCTCTCTCTAGCAAATATAAATAAATAAAATCTTCAAAAAAAGCAACAACACAAAAACATTTATTTTGGAAGGGTAAAAGATTTTGACTCCCAGTGGAAACAGCTTACATCAACCTCATGGTTTCTTTCTGCTTCTGGAAGTCGTTCAGTTGTTAGTGGCAGCCTGGCATGTAATATAGGATCAATTTTTAAACGTAAGTTAATGAAAATTAAATAAAATAAAAACTAATTTGTCAGTTGCTCTTGCCACATTCGAGTGCTCAGTAGCCACAAGGGGCCAGTGGCCACCATATTGGTCAGCACAGATCACAGAGGGAAGAGCAAATGTTGATCATGTTGTCAAAAAATAGAATTATATCTGTAATGAGTTCTGTGACGTGGTTCTCTGAGCTCACATAACTGTATAGCCCATTTGGAGGGTCAGAGGAAAAAATCACTCTGAAGAAAGAGTAGGAGTCCGTTTTTTGGATGGACAAGTATTCCAGGCAGTGGGAACAGCCCAGGCAAAGGCCCTTGTAGCAGGATTATCTGTACTTTTTTTTTAAACAACTTTACTGAGATATAATTCACACACTATATAATTCACTGATTCAAAGTATACAATTCAGGGGCACCTGGGCGACTCAGTCGGTTAAGCATCCGACTTTTTTTTTTTTTAAATATTTTATTTATTTGACAGAGAGAGACACAGCGAGAGAGGGAACACAAGCAGGGGGAGTGGGAGAGGGAGAAGCAGGCTTCCCGCCGATCGGGGAGCCCGATGTGGGGCTTGATCCCAGGACCCTGAGATCATGACCTGAGCAGAAGGCAGATGCTTAACGACTGAGCCACCCAGGCGCCCTTTTTTTTTTAAGATTTAATTTATTTATTTGACAGAGAGAGAGGGGACACAAGCAGGGGGAGTGGGAGAGGGAGAAGCAGGCCTCCCGCTGAGCAGGGAGCCCGATGCGGGGCTCGATCCCAGGACCCTGGGACCATGACCTGAGCTGGAGGCAGACAGACGCTTAACGACTGAGCCACCCAGGTGCCCCAGCATCCGACTCCTGACCTCAGTTCAGGTCTTGATCTCAGGGTCGTGAGTTCAAGTCCCACATTGCGCTCCACACTGCGCTCAATGCTGGGCATGGAGCCTATCTAAAAAAAAAAAGAAAAGAAAAGTATACAATTCAGTGGCTTTTAGTATATTCACAGAGTTGTGCAACCATCACCACAATCAGTTTTAGAACATTTCATCACCCCCCAAAACAAACCCTTGTACCCCTTAGACATCATCCTCCAAACCCACCACCCCTCATCCCAACCACGAATTGACTTTCTGTAGATTTGCCTCTTCTGGGCGTTTTGTATGAACAGAACATTCAGTAATAGCATATGTGGCCCTTTGTGACTGGTTTCTTTCACTTAGTTCATGTTTTCAGAGCTCGTTTATGTGGTAGCATGGATCAGTCCTTCTGTTTCTTTTAACAGCCAAGTAATATTCCATTGTAACATCTGGAGAAAAGAGTGGATCTTTGAAAAGGAAAGGATCTTAGGACAGGACAGTATGGCTGTCACATCGAGTCAGTGGTTGGGCTCTGGCTGTTTTTGAGGGCAGGCAACAGAGGCTTGGGGCTTCAAGGGTTTTGGACTCCATCTGGAGAGCCATAGTGAGCCACAGAAGGATTTTGAGCAGGGGAGGAACAATACATGAACAGAGATGGCAGCACAGAGGTGGTACTGCCTATGAACTTGGTAGGAAGGAGAGCAGGACCTTGAACCTGGGTGTGGCTGGCTCCAAAGCCTGTCTGTGACCCTTGAGTGCCTCCACCATCAGGGGAAAGGTGGGCGTATACCTGTTACCGACTGCTGGCCATCACGGTCGGCGGTTTACACGCGGGGGTCCCATTTAATCCCCAGGGAAGCCTGAGAGGAAGCTGCTATTAACAGCCCTGATACAGGTGACGCGGCTGGGGCGGAGAGAAATCAGCTCCTGCCCCTGAGACCAGTGAGGCTCTCTCTGAGCCAGACACTGAGCCCCGCACTTTCCATGTATTTAATCATTCAACCCATACAACCACCCTTTAAGGTAGGGAGTTTTTAGATCACCGTTGTGCAAAAGAGGAAATAGAGGCACGAGGTGGTTAAGAGACCTGTTCAATGTGGCGGAAGTACAGGGACAGGTGGCATTTATTAAGCGCTCGTGGCATACTGAGGAAACAGTTTCCATACATGGGAAACTGAGGCACAGGGAGGAAGTCACTCGACCAAGGTCCGTCGACCAGTGAGAGGAGAAACTCAGTTTTCTCTGGAACGCCATGGAGGGCGTGGGGCTGGGTCACTGGGCGGGGGGGCAGCCTTAACGCTCCTTCGGACCCTCCACCCCACGCCCTCTGCAGGTGAAGCTGTGTGACTTCGGCTTCGCGCGCATCATCGGCGAGAAGTCGTTCCGGCGCTCGGTGGTGGGCACCCCTGCCTACCTGGCGCCCGAGGTGCTGCTCAACCAGGGCTACAACCGCTCGCTGGACATGTGGTCGGTGGGCGTGATCATGTACGTCAGCCTCAGTGGCACGTTCCCCTTCAACGAGGACGAGGACATCAAAGACCAGATCCAGAACGCCGCCTTCATGTACCCAGCCTGCCCCTGGAGCCGCATCTCCTCCGGAGGTGGGTGGGGGCGGGATGGGGCGAGGAGTGGGCGGGGCCATAAGAGAGGTGGGCCCGGAAACATCCAGGCTGCGGGGGTGGAGCCTGGCGGTGGGTGGGGCCACAGGGAGGGCGGTCCTTTAAACGGTGCGGTACCTTGGACCTGGAAGCTTGGGGCAGAGGGACTCAGGCGTGTGTATGGAATTAGTCAGTCCTAGTTCCCAGTTCACAGGAAACGAAGTGCTCCAGAAGCACTGAGACAGACACCTGGCGCTTTGGGGGCCGAACAAGGTTTGGCCTGTCTAAGGCGGGACAAGGAGAGGGACTACTGGACCTGAGGAAGCCATACAGCTGGGGTGGCCAGGAGAAGGGGCGGATCCTTCTTCCCAAGGCATTGGCTGGGGCCTGGAGTCTTTGGGGCTACGACCCCGAAAGGGTTAGCCTTGCAAAAGCAGTGGTGCCGGAGGGCAGGGTTGAGGAACAAGGACCGGGCTAATTTGCTGGGTGCTGGGCAGACTTGGGCCTGGGACCGGGGACAGGTCCGGTGATGAAGGGGCCTGGTTTAGGAGCGTGGCAAGAGGAGGGGCAGGGTCATGGAAGGTTTCTGAGGCTGCCCAGAAAGACCCATCCTGAGACCAAAATCACCTGGACCTGTGAAGAGGAGCGAGTGGGGGGAAGCTTAAGGGTCGGGTGCAAGGAGAGGGGAGTCAGGCCCGAGGCGGACACTGGGATCCAGGGGCTCTGCTGTTGTGGCCGGCTAGTGGTACTGGGGCTTGTGACTTGGGCCTCAGAAAGTTCCCTCAGGAGGCCTATAATGTTAGGGCCCGAACAGGTGTGAGGGTGGGCCTACAGTGGGGCTAAGATACTGGGGCATGTTAGGAAGCTGTAAGAACAAGGGGCAGGCCCTAGAGCCGGGAGCTCAGGAAGACAGAGGATGGGAGGGAGGTTAGGAAGACAATCACTGTTCATAACAGTTTATTCAACAAGCATGTTGAGTGCCTACTGTGGGCCCCGTACTGACTGTGCCAGGCTCTGGGAATACTGGGATGAGTTGGAAATAAGGGGTCGTGCGGGAAGAAGGTTGTTGAGGAGGGAAGGAACCTAGAGGGATATGGCCTCATGGAGCAGGCAGAGAGGGGGATGACATGGGGGTTAGTGCAGGAAAAGGTGGCAGCAGTGGGCCCAAGAGAGGTAAGCACTAAGTGATAAGAATGGATTCACGAGGACTGGAGTAATACTGGAGGTCCTCAGCGTTGTGTTTTTGGACCTGCTCAGGAGTCTCAATAAAAGTGCATCAGGTATGCGAGAATGAATTTGGTGTGGATGGACATGTGTGAGGGAGGCCGTGTGGACAAGACCTATACTCAGAGGGGTTCACACAGTGAGGCCTTGTCCTTCAAGGCTTCTGATCAAGGAGACAGCTTCGGATGAGTGCCGGCTTGTCTTGAATGCCTGACACTCGCTAATTTTTCTTTTCCTAAAGAACAGGCCTATCTCTGAGCCTCAGCAGGAAACCACTGACTGACTGCCTTCTAATAATGTTGTTTTATTTTCATTTTATTTTTGTGAACATGGCAAGTGGATTTTCATTGGCCGGGGTGATATAATATTTCCATTACAAATAAATTTATTTACCCCTTAAGTTTTTCAAGGGGAAAATGAATTTTTAAAAAGTGAAGTGATTTAAAGCCAAATGTTACCGATTTTTGCTTTGATCAAATACTGACGTGACTCAAATTTTTAAATATGCAGAAGGGTCGGCAGTGAAAATCCTCTCTCACTCCTTTGTCTGCCATTCTTCCCAAAGGCAATGGCTATTACAAATCTTTTAAATATGTACAAGCAAATATATGGACATATATTCTTTTATTTCCTCCTTTTACACAAGTGGTAGTGTACTATACATGCTGCTTTTTAACTTGCATCGTCCTCTTCACCGTATATCTTGGGCCAATGGTTTGGCTTAAAAAAAAAAAAAATAGGGCGCCTGGGTGGCTCAGACTGTTGAGCGTCTGCCTTCGGCTCGGGTCATGATCCCAGGGTCCTGGGATCGAGTCCCGCATCGGGCTCCCTGCTTCTTGGGAGTCTGCTTTCTCCCTCTGACCTTCCCCCCTCTCATGTGTGCGTGCTCTCTCTCTCA